TTGTATCTCCTTGTGCTGTGTGTATCGTACAAACGTGGTAGGAACGTAGCCCTTCCTCGGTATTTATTTGGTGCTTGGGAAAGTGTCAGTTATTGGGCTCTGAGTGCCCCTGGAAGGCCCTGATTCGGTTATGTCCAATACTTGTTCCTCTGTGCCTGGAACCCGAACATCTATTATCCACTATCTTCCTGGAACCACTCTCCTCGCCCTTTGTTGGCTTGAGTTCTGTCAGGTTCTGCTATCTTACTGCAGCATTTTCTCTGAACTAATCGCATATCCGCAAATTCGTGAAAGGAAATTTAAAGTAAGTCACAGTTTGACTAATTATTGTTATGATTGACAAGGGCTATGCATTGCCGCTGTGCCTTTTCATCAAAAAATTGTAGAAGAGAACTTTTTTAATATCAGAAATGTTCGTAACTTGAAGCAAATATCGTAATTTTTCTTTTTGAATGCTTAAGTATTCCAATATGCTACCAATTAAACATAGAACCATTTCAAAATAATGCTGAATGACAAAGTTGAAATTCGATCTTCAACTGTTAATATCTCCTAGAAATTTTCGGAAAATTTTTTTTAAATATTTTTCTCGTATTCCCCAAGGGAGCCTCTATCACCCCTTAAAAGGAATGACGCCAATTTTGAATCACCCTACATCAAAAGTAGATAGCACTAGAAAATATGTATGGGACAGGGAAAAAAAATTTTTCGTGTTTAGCGGAAAGCTATAGAAAAAGAAAAAGGCTGCTTTTATATTAATTATATTTAATTAATGTGATCAATAAAAAAAAAGGAAACTAAGCCGCTATTTTTTACAGTTGATCAAAAGTTCCCCCCGTATGCTGCAGTCAATGACGGATGAGATGACGGATCCAGCGGTGCAGCCCACAGTATGGGTGTCAAAATGGGTGGACTACTCGGATAAGTACGGGTTTGGATACCAGCTGTCCGATGACACTGTGGGCGTGATGTTTAATGACACCACCCGCCTGATGATCCTGTCCAATGGCAAGTACGTTGCATTGATTCCGTCCTTGTTAGCGCGAGTGCTGATTGGCTGCTTGTGCGTAGGAACGTGCAGTATGTGGACCAGGACGGATGCGAGGAATACATGACGGTGGACGCGTATCCGAAGACGCTGGAAAAGAAGGTGAAGCTGCTGTCCTACTTCAACCGCTACATGAGGGAGCATTTGGTGAAAACTGGAGCGCAAGTGTGTAAAGAGTACGACTCCCTATCCAGGCAACCGCATTTGCATCAGTGGTGCCGCTCAACGTCCGGCGTGCTCATGCAGCTCAACAACGGCACTATACAGGTAGAGGAATAAAATCGCTTAGTCATCCAGTTGCATGTGTTCTAATCCTTCTTGGTCTATTCTAGGTCAACTTTAGAGACCATACTAAAGTAATTATATGTCCACTAATGGAGGCGGTGACATATGTGGGCGAAGACCGATCGTTCCTCACCTTCCGATTTGCCATGCTCACGAAGCTCGGCTGTCTGAGTATTCTTTACGAAAAAATCCGGTACACCTACGACAAGATCGGGGTGCTTTTAGAAAAGAAAGACTAATGGCAATTTTTTATGATATTTTGGCCATTTTAGAATGTATGCGTGGCAACGGTATCTCTGTTTAATGTATTAAAAACGAGTTCTCGTTCATTGTATGTGAGACTCTGCGAGTTATTGTGTTCAAGACATTTTTAGTTTATATTATTGTTAATATTTTACTACTATTTGTCATTTGAGCGTCTTTGGGCCAGATGGGCCCATTACTATCTTGTACATTTTTTTTACTTAATACAATTTTACTGCAAATTGATGCCAAGGAAATTTGTAGAATATTTTTTATATTGATTCAATTTTATCTCTGTTGTTGTTGAGTGTCCAATAAGTCTGTCGGGAGGACTGATATGACAGTGGCTGTCACTGTTTTGACAGATTTGGCGGATTTTAGGGGTCAGCTTACAAAGTGCAGTTTTAGCGATGTTTAAGTGCAAACGCTTGTAATTGATTGGTTGTTAAAACGCAATAATTCAAAAAATCTAAGTTACATGAAGTGTCTTTGGCCAAAACGGCCGATTCGTTAACAGTAGATTCAATTATAATTTTTCAATTTTTGCACTTAATGCCAAATAAATTAGTCGAATATTTTCTGTTTATTCAGTCAATTTCTCAATTTTTATTTTTATTATTGCCAACCAAGAGTTTCTCCGTAGACAATTGGGCCGTCACAGTGACAACACTGTGCTGCGAGTCGCTGACACGTTAACCTCATTTAAGAGCTAACCTAAAAGTGCAGTGTTAGGGCTCTGTCAGTGTTTTGTCTCTGCAATTTGGGGCCATGGCAGGACTTAGGCGCACCCTGCGGACCGTCCTAAAGAACTACAACAGCCCGTGTTTTCATGTGAAGCGGCTGCTCAACTACACGGGCCAGTGCTATGGTTGGGTTTGAAATTTGGTGTATTAAGTACACATTAATTTTTGTTTTTTTTGCAGATGGGGACAGCGACCCGGGCCCCATTTTCATCAACCCAGACGTTCAGGGTATTCTCCAGTCGCTGACGCGCGTCGATTATGACCGCGTGTTCAGAAAGCGGAAGCTCGGAACGAAGAAGCCCAGTGACCCGGAGTACAAGTTTATGACCGATGCGGAGTTGCAGGAGGCCCTGCGGGCCGCTAAGGAAAGAGCTGCGGAGCTCCTGCAGATTCCGCCGGTGGTCAAAGTGCGAAACACCGAAGCAAAAGTGGTGTGCAAAGACCCGGAGCTGCAAGGTAACGCCAATAACGAAACTAGTTTGTTTAGCGCTTTGGACAAAGCCTTGATGGGTTGCAGGGCTGGAAAGCAGCCGAATGGTGTTCACGGATATAACTTTCGGGGTGCAGGACGAGCAGCGAATTGTGGTGGTGAGGGAGCCGGACGGCACCCTGCGGGAGGCCGAGTGGGCGGTGAGGCAGCGCGTGAATCAAACCTACTTCCCGGACAAGGCAAAACAAATGCAAGTACCGCGGATGTTTCTGGACAGCTACCTGGAAAGACTGCTGGACAAGAACGAGTACGAGTATGTCTTGGACCGGGCGTGCGTCCAGTTCGAACCAGACGACCCCGACTATCAGCGCCTGATCTCCATTGTCTATCAGCATCTGAATGACCACAACAAATTCGAGCTGTTGAGGTAGCAACCCTAAAATCCTGATTTTCAAGCATTGGGTTTTGATGCACCTTTTTTGTGTAGGTCGACGCGCCACTTTGGTTCATTGACGTTCTACCTGGTGTGGAACCGGAACATCGACAACCTGCTCCTGGAGCTGATTCAGACGATGCGCATCGAGGAGGCCGATCAGCTGCTGGCCCTGTATTCGTTAATCCATCAAAAGCGCTTCGAGGGCGAAGACCCACTAGATCGGGTGCAGAGCTACATAGAGCAGGCGGCTGGTAAAAAGGGCTCGCTAGAACTGGCTGTGCAGGCCTACAAGGACGTGGCTGCAAGACGGGCCGTTGAGGCCCTTTGAAAATAGTTAGTATCTCCTCATCACCATTTATAGTTAACAGGAAAGGTTGGATTTGTTTAATACAAAGCAGGGTTGGCTTGATTTTTTTCAAGTGATTTCAATCACCTGATTTTTTTGGAAAAAAATCACGATTTAAATCAAAGTTCATTATTTCAAGAAACTTTATATTTCCTCTCAAAAATTTAAAGAGAACACAAATAATTCTAAGAAATGAAAATCAAAATAGAAAACGGTACATGTGAACTTAAAAATTGTCAAATATTTCCGCAACAATCACATGGCAAAAGCCAAATTCAGTGCAGCTGGAGGCAAAGGACTAGTACTACCTAGCGATGTTCGCTGGAACAGCGTAGCCGACTGTTTGGAAGCGTATGCACACAATGGGACATCATTCTCAAGATTTGCGAGGATGACTCAAAAGATATCGATTCTGCTATATTGAAAAAAGTCTCAAACATAGGACTGAAGCATACAGCACAAGAGTCCCTGAGCCTTCTGAAGCCTATTGCTGTGGCTCTAGATATACTCCAGAAGAAAAATGCCACAATATGTGCTGCCGTAGAGCAGTGGAAACTTTTGCAAGATAAGTTTAAAGAATCTCAAAATGTATCTTTAGATAAACTACAGAAGTTTCAACATCGTGATAAGCAAGATCTTACACCTTATCACTCTTATTGCTTACATGTTAAGCCCGGAGAAACAAAACTACGCTTTAACTCCTGAAGAGAAGAATCTGGCTTTGGAGACTATCAGTGAGCTTCATGGAAACTCGGGATTGTTGCCACTAGTTATTAAATTCAACGCTCGCTGCAGTCCTTTCAAATAAATTATGTTTTCTGATGAGATGCTGAAAAATATGAACGGAATTTAGTGGTGGCTATCACAGAGAGATGAACCGGAAATTGCGACACTTGCCCACTATAAAACAGTTTCTTTGTGCAACTGCATCGTCTGAGTCTGTCGAAAGGATGTTGAGCACATTCGGATATCAGGAACAGACAGACACTGATACAAAGTGCAACCACGCACCCGCCCCTCACCAATCAAATAGACTCCCCTTTGGAAAAGGTGTTTATTATTATTACATTAGGCTGTTGTGAGCTTTTCCAAAACAGCACGGTTAATGACCCCCGATGTGGACTTGTACTCGGGGCTGCGCCCCGTAAGCGCAATCAGCTGCTCGGCCACCTCAACGGCGACCCGCACTTGGGCCTCCGCAGTGCTGGCGCCCAGATGCGGCGTCGCCACCACTTTGTCGTGGGCGATCAGCTCGAGCGTCACGGGGTTCGTGGGCGGCTCCTGTTCGTACACATCGACGGCGGCTCCGCCACACTGGCCAGACTTGAGGGCGGCCAGCAGGTCGCCCTCGTTCACTATCCCGCCGCGGGCCACGTTGATCACCTTGACGCCCTTCTTGCAGCTGCCCAGCACTTGGGCGTTGATCAAATCTGGAACATTTGCGCGATTGCGGGATAATTGTTCAGGGGCGGAACATCAGTAGTTACTTCTAGTGGCTGGGATGAGGGGCGTGTGCACAGTGATGTAGTCGGCGCGCCGCCACAGCGCGTCCAGCTCCAAGTACTGGACGTTGAACTGTTGGGCCTCCTGGGGAGTCACGATGGGGTCGAAGCCGATGGTCTGAAACACTCAAAGTAGGGTTGAGGCCTGGATGGGGGCGGGGCACTGACCGTCATGCCCCAGGCCTGCATGCGGAGCGCCACCTCTTTGCCGATGCGCCCCAGCCCGATAATGGCCAGCGTCTTGCCGCTGAGCTCCCGGCCTGCATAGAGCTTGCGATCCCATCGGCCCGCCTTCAGCGAGGCGCTAGCCGCTGCCACGTTGCGCGCTAAGTTAGCGATCAGCGCACAAGTCAGCTCGCAGGCGCTGATTGCGTTGCCGCCGGGAGTGCTGGAATTCCAGTTAGTTGAGTACAGTGCTGTAGTGAGTGAGTGAGTGAGGATACTTTAGAACTACCACATCTCGGGCAGTGGCGGCGTTTACATCGATGTTGTCCACCCCAGCGCCCGCTCGGCCGATGGCCTTCAGTCTGGACCCGGCCTGGATCACTTCGGCACCCACTTTGGTGTCGGACCGCACCACAATGGCGTCATAATTCTTGGAGAAACCAAGATATATTAAGCAGCACCGAGCGCTGGTTGCTGAGCCTACCTGGATCGCCTGGATCAGCTGCTCTTTGGATAGTTTGTACTTGCAATCCACTTGGATGGAATGGCGCTGAAGAAGAGCCACGCAGGCTTCATCGACGGCGTCCGCCACCAGAACATTCCTGATGTCCATTGCGTTTTGTGTTGACCTTTGGACAGTGCGCGAGACTGAACGATCTGACCGACTGGCACCACTGATAATTTGTGCAGGGAACCTGTTTATAAGGCCTGAATTGAACGGGGGCACGATAAGCCGGGGAGTTATCGCGCTTGTTGTTGTCTTTTACCGCTAAATGGGCTTAAGATTGCGGCTGTTATTGTTGTGATGGCGCTTATTGGCCAACAGGCCTGCACGTCAGTTTAGGCAGCTGATGCAAGCTTGTTTTCGCTATTTTTTTCATCGAGTATGTAGGAATAACAAACGTTTTGAAATTTCTGGGTTTAATAGGCGATAGTTGTCTTATGTTGTTGCAAATAGCCACCAAATGTGTCGCATTGGGACTTTTTATTTAGCCCCAAATATGCACCATTTCGCGTTCACTCAGTACATTTGCATCTGAACTCCCCACTGTTTAAGGCATGTTGCTATGATAGATGTGTCGTCTGCTTTTCTTTGATGCGCTTTTTCGCCGTCACAGCAAAAAATATTTTTTTTGCGTCATAAACTCGAGCAGTTGGCGAATTAATTTCAAACTTACTCCAAACCAGGGCTCGGAATCAAACTCGAATACTTCGAGTATTCGAATATTCGAAAATCGAATAATTATGTGTAGTCATAACTCGAATATCCGAATATTTGAATACTCGAATACACCAAATATTCGAATATCCGAATATTCGAATACTCGAATACACCAACATTATCAAACTCACAAGGTGCAAATACTTTATATGCACTTTGTATACTTTTATAAAATAAATTATTATACTCTCCTGAATGTAAAATTACGTCTCTGTGTTCTGGTGATACGCGTCATCAACTTTATCCGTTGCGGCTAGTTGCCAAAAATTATATGAGATAACCATTTTTCTTCTTGGAAAACAGTGAACGGAAAACGAACACTTGAATATCTAACGAATACGAATAGAAATACTCGAATACTCGATTATTCTAATATTCGTTAGATATTCGAGTATTTGAGCCCTACTCCAAACCCCTTGGAAATATTTTTTTTTGCGTCAAAAACTCGAGCAGTTGGCGAATTAATTTCAAACTTACTCCAAACCCCTTGGATATAAGTTGCAAGTTCAAACGCACATTGAAAAAGCAATTGTACAAATCTGCTTGAGGCAGCGTAAAAATCGCAACATTTTGTCGCATAGTGAGGGCGTTGCCCTACAAAATGCACCCAATATTCAATCTGGATCTTCACGTATTCCTGAGAAAATACATTTCAAAGTCTTGAGTACTTTAATAAGTTAAAAACTTCAGCGCGCTTAAACAACGTTAAAAAAATTATTAAAATCCGCCTGAAGGAGACAAAAAACTTTTTTCACAGAGCAAACAGGCTGGTATAGCTAGACGAATTTTTTTTAAAGTTGTCCAGGATAAACCAAAAATCTCTCAGGTCTGTCCAGAATATCACTCGAAAGAGAAAATATGCGGCTTTAAATGAAGAAAACTTCACTTTAATAGGAACTATCTGGGGGTTTTCAGAAGTTTTTCGGATACTAAAGAGATCCGGTCCATAATATAACCCCAAAGCCAAAATCCACTGCTTTAAATCAGGAAAAACTCACTTTAATAAGAAATTTGTGGACGTTTTCAGAATGTTTTCAGTTAGGAAAAGCTAGATTTATCTCATATGACCATTTTTTCTTTTAACTTTTTTTCATACTTCTAATTATGGGTGTCCCCAATAACCAGAAAATCTATGGAAAACACGACCTTTAACTTCCCAATGCAAGCTTTAACCCACAACTGAGAGCACTAAAAAATAGTTCACTTTGTCATGTTCTTAACCAAATAAGTGCACGTTTTACACGCTATATATTGATACAACTGTAGCTAGATCTATGCAGAACTTTGTCCTTAAAATGCTCTCAAAGTTTTAAGTCTGCATTCTTCTCAAACCATCTGGAAACAGACAAAATGTCCAAGAAGCAGCTCACTTCGCCATGCTCTTAGCTACAAAGACTGGCGTTTTATTGACCAACTATTAGTCCCAAATTATCTAGATCTGTGCAAGTCTTTGCTACTTAAAATGCTCCCAAACGTTTAAGTCTATTATCTTTTCAACGCACATAGAAGCAGGCAAAATGCGAAAAATTCGCTTTGCGATGCTCTGAATTTTGATCTCAAATTAATGTTTTATGAGCTATCTATTGACACTAAAGCATCTAGATCTATGCAAGGTTTTGTCACTTAAAGCACCATCAAAGTGTAAACTCTGTTAATTTACCAAACGGTCTGAAAACAGACAAAATGGTCAGAAAAACGTCTACTTCGGCATGCTCTTAGCCACATAAATTAACGTTTAATGAGCTATCTATTGAGGCCACATTATCCTAGACCTGTTGCCCCTTAAAGTGCTCTCAAAGTTTCAAGACTGTTCTATTCTGAAACCGTTTGAAAACAAAATGTTCAGGAAAAGTAGTCCACATTGTCATGCTCCTAGCCATACAAACAAAACAGTCTATTTCTATGCAGGACTTTGGCCCATTAAATTGTTCTCAGTGTTGTAAGTCTGTTATCTTCTTTAAACGGCTGGAAACAGACAAAATGTTCAAGTGGAATGGTCATGCTCTTAGCATAATAATTTGAATGGTTTTCGGCAAAATATTATCAAAACTTATAAATCGATTTTAACCGGTTTTGCCTCAATAACCCCGATTAGTTGTTCCAAAACCACCATTCAACTACCGTTTGTCCCGTTTGCAAACGTTTTTGGTGTTGCCCAAACTATGTTTTCTTCGAATTAAATTGCAGATGGTAATTTTGAGGAAATCGACTTGAAAATAAAAACTGTTTTAACTTTTGCTTATTGAAAAGTACTGCCATTAAGTTTTAGCGCTTAGTCCCCAAAATACTGAACATTTTCACATATCGGCACCGTTATGGTTAAAACCAATCATTTAAGACCTACCTTTTGATGCGAAAGTATCTATATCTATGTGTCTAAATTTTGAAGACTTGCATGATTCAAAAACGACTGGAAGCAGGAAAAATGCCCGTTTTGATCGCGCTCTGGCATGAAACTGGAAGTTTTCCCTTAAAAGGGAGACTCAAAAAAATATCGAGCAAACCGTGAAAACCTGTTGTTTAAAGTGTTTCTTTAACCATCTGCTCACCAAAAAAGAAAAGAATTGCCTTTTTCTTATTAGCTTTGGTGCCAGATTTGTAAAATTGTCCTTAACACTCTAGAAAACACCCACTTTGGAAGACTCAAAAAGAAAACTGAATAAATTTAGGAAGATGTGTTAGTGTGTAGTAGAGTACAAAATTCGGGCATCGCTTCAAACAAGCAACATTGGCAGAGACAAATGTATATCACTCCAATGCGCCTGTTAATTATCTTCCCAGTGGTCTCAAAATGTGTTCTCTATTAACATTTTGTACTCTCTGAAAAAAAAACTATTAAGTCGCAATGCTCTGAACCATGGATGTGTTAGCTTGAGAACACATTTTTGCACCCCTGGATAGAGAATTAACGAGCGCATTCGAGTGCTATGCATTTGTAGCTGCAAATCATCTATAAAAACAATTCGGTGACTTTTTGGGTCGAAAATCGAAAGCGCGGTGTGGCTTTTTTTCCATAAAAACATATTTCCCGGTGATTTCGCTTCGTTCTACCCTGAGAATGTAAGAGCGGTGAAATAACAAACAGCCCGTCGTTTGGTCTCATTTTTTTTTGATCGATTTCAACGTGTTTTGTACAAAATCATTCGCTAGATTTGGCTAATATTTACAAAAGGTCGCATAGCCCATTGAAAAGCGATGCGCAATAAATAACTTCCATTCAGTATTAAAATATAAAACATAATAAATTAACATCAATCGGGGCCGTTTCATAAGCCGATGTATGAGCAAAACAGGAAAGTCAAAAACATGGTGACTATCAGGATAACGATGGCCAGCCAAAGGGGAATGGTTTCTGCAAAACACAAGAAAACAGTGGATTTGAAGGCAAAGGTGCGCGGAATGTTGGCGCTTACTTCTATATGGCAAGGTGTGGATGCAGACTTGATTGTCCACCGATATGGACAGTACGGCGGCCTCCGCCACACTGCAAACGGTGTGGTTCTGCTGGTTGAGAACCGGCAGGAACTCCAGACCGGTTACAAACATGGAATGTGCGCCAGAAATATGCAAAACTCTCTGAAATAAATCGGGGGAATTATTGGCAAGGCTCGGAGACAATCTCGGGCGATTACCTGCAAACTAAACGCGACGTACACCGAAACTGAGCCACTAAACATGGTGCCGACAGCCACAAACCTGCCATCATCCCGAACGGCGAGGGCGGAAACACTTTCGTCGAATTCCGCAGACTTCCGTATAATGCCTGCAAGGGAACGGGGGGATTATGGAAAATTGCCGTAAAAAACCTCAAATGCCACCTTCAAGTGGATGCCACTGCTGCAAGTAGGACTTTTGCTGCTTCGCCCGTCCAGTCGGATTAGACAGCATGTAAAGGGCCGATTTATCTTCGCCCTCAACCACTCCGAATCTGCCTCAAAGAAATCTACATAAAGCCATCGGCCTTGCCAATCTTAGCAGGAATATACCAAGTTATTGAAAATTGTAAAAAACTGATACTTAAATATATGGGGTCAACAACGAGTGTATTACCTGCATCTTTTATATAAATACTTTGAACCTTGCGGCTGTTCCCACGTCAGTCTCCGGATCTCTGTGCCTTTCGCGCAGTCCCACAGCACTGCCAGCCCGTCCTTTGCTATAGTAACCAGGTAGTTTCCGTGAGTACTGAAGTCTATATCATCCACCTCTTTACTATGGGCTTGCAGCTTGGCAATCGGCTGCATGCTGGGGAACTTCCACATTCGAATGTCGCCATCGGTTCCTCCTGGAGGATTGCCAGTTTAAAACAGCCAGTAGATGACTGTGGATGGTTTCCCTCACCTGTTGCCATGAGTTTTCTATTGGGGTGCACCCGCACGACTCGACAAAGTGGTTCGGGCAACTTAAAGTCCGTTTGTATGCTGTCAGCCGGGTTAAGAACGAACTTTAAGCGCTTTTTCGGCGTTTTCGTCGGCTCAGGTTTTTGCGTGCGTGGTCGCAACCCCGGGGCATCGCTGTCCAACGATTCAACCACCCCGTTTGCCTGAGGGGCTGCATCAAAAAACAAACTGTTCAGCTATAAGCTAAACAAACCGGAATTTGACCTACCGAACTGCGTATTGACCCTATAAAGTTGACAATGGCTTTCCTGGCCTGCAACTAGGTACGTGTGTTTGCCATCCACGGACTTTGAGACCGTGCAATTCATCACAACATTGGGCCCCGTTTCGTGCCTGGTCACTTCTTCTACGTGGAATTTCTTACCGTCGTGCGACAGCTCGAATATTTCCTGGAATATTCCGGTTTAGTCAGCTTGTGTCACAAGCTGGAAGCAAAAGGGTACTTACAAATCCATTAGCTACTCCAGTTTTTGAGGAACCTCCACCGCCACCCACCAAAACATGTCTGTTTGTCAGCATTTGCACACTGAATAGGGGGAAATTGATGCGGGCCAGCACATCGTCGATATTTCTGCGATGTGGGGCCATTTCAAGCGTTCAAATCACCAATTATTGGTGAAAACTGCTGGTAAATTTCAAACCTCCACGTCGATAACCTCAAAGTTTGACAAACTAATCAAACACGATCCCATCGAGTTGTTTATCTAATTAATTAGATTGGGCGTGGTTTGAGGACGTTTACCCACTGTTCAGTGCGGATATTTGTCGAGTTTTAGCTCAAAAAGTTATAAAAATAATTTCCCTTCAAGCTTTGCTTAATTTAATTGAAATTTCCCTAGCGATTTTATATTTCCAATAAAAAGTTGTTTAAGGAATAAACCTCGATGGTAGTTGGGTGCGTCACTGCATGTGACGTCTATTAACCTTGCAACATATGATTTTGACAAATAACTTTCACAAATAAAGGCAGACAAGGTGATTGTTTGGAATGTTAAATATTGCGGAAGTTGAATGCTGAAATTCCGCACTTTCCTTTGATCCATTTACTCGGTTCTTTTTGCGACAATTCGTGAAGTGAAAACACTGCGATAAAGTGCAAAACAGTGCGAAGTCCCAAACAAGGTCCAGTTTGGTTATGTAGAGCTGTGATTTTTTTAACAGGTGTTTTTTGCGCATATTTACACAATTTCCCAGTGGTTTTTATCATGGGACTGTTATTTGCTAAGCTATGGAGCTTGTTTGGCAACGAAGGTAAGCAATGAGTCAGTTTGGTCCAATTTGGGGGGCGATTAACAGCCGCTTGGTTTATAGAGCACAAGATTGTTATTGTGGGGCTTGACAATGCTGGAAAAACCACGATATTGTACCAGTTTTTGATGAATGAGGTGGTTCATACTAGTCCGACTATTGGGTCAAATGTTGAGGAAGTTGTATGGCGGAATATCCACTTTATCATGTGGGATTTGGGGGGACAGCAGTCTTTAAGAGCCGCCTGGAGCACTTATTACACCAATACAGAGGTAAGTTGGTTCAGTTATAATCCCATGTAATAAACACTGTTTATGGTGCATGCTTTACTCGCGACAGATAAGCGAAACCTTTGTAATTATCGTGTTTTGATATTAAATCCTCATTGTTCGGTTTTCGGTGCAGATAAGCTTGGGGATGAGATGCTGAAACTTTATCTTTATGGTACTTCAAACTAGATAAGTAACATTAAATTAACGGCTACTTAATCTGTAATAATAAGACAGCAGTTTATGCAAAGTTTGATAAATCGGCTAAAATCAACCTAAGTTGGTTAGTAAGTTCCTAAGTGGCTCCTGTTTTGGGCGCTTAATAACTGAGGGCTGTTTGAGTGCGGACGATGACGACCGATTGAAAAATTCGCAAAAATTAAGGAAAATTCCGACAAGGCTCATTAGTCCTAATTAAGCTGGGGAATCATAAACAGGGTGATAAAGCAAGGCTTCGGACACATAAAAAAGGAAAATAATCGTTTTCTTACGTACAATCTTCTACACTCATTCCCCAGACCTTCTGCGAAATCAGTTAAATCAAGTAGTCAACTTTTGGGTTTATAAACTAATAATATTGTTTGTTGCAGTTTGTGATTGTTGTGGTGGATTCAACCGATCGCGAGCGATTATCTATGATCCGAGAAGAGCTCTACAAGATGTTGGCGCATGAAGAACTGTCGAAAGCCAGCGTTTTGGTCTATGCGAATAAACAGGACGTTAAAGGTTCAATGAGCGCCTCAGAAATCTCTAAAGAGTTGAATTTGACTTCAATTAAACAGCAGCAATGGCATATTCAATCCTGTTGTGCGCTCACTGGGGAAGGGTGAGCTTGGGAGCTTTTTTGTGGGGGTTTTGCTCGAATGATGATTTTTCAGACTCTACCAGGGGCTAGAGTGGATAGCCAATCGGCTGAAGAAGAAATGACACCTGTATTGGTAGCTGTGTGCGAAAACGTTCAGTTTGAAACTCATTTTTCTTAATGGGGAAAGTGAGTTTCAAATGGTGACTGTTTCTCACATTGAGAAGGCCAGATCTTCCAAGACCTGTTTTTTTGGAGGGCGATTGTCGTCGGTTCAATGCCAAAACTTCATTAATAAACTTGTGATATACATACATAATACATACATACATAGGTTGTGTTGTTGGTCTTTTTACATAAAAAGATCGGAACTTTGACGACACGAACTTTCGCAAATTACCTTAGATAGATGGCATGTTCTTAGCGTGTGTGTGAATGGAAATTGGGCTTTTATCATTTCGAAAGCTTCACCCGAAGACGAATTATATTTTTCCAATTAGAACTAAAGCTGACGCGCATTTTTGCTTGCTCTTATTGTTTGAATTAATTGTTTTCAGTATTTTGACTTTATTATTTGAAGATTTCCAATCGCTTGGTTGATGATGACTGTGGCAGAGCTGAGATGGCACGTTAATTTGGTCCTCTCATTTTTTATGTACAGAGTTATTTAATAGATAAAACCAGTTGTATATAAACAGAGTTTAATTGTTTTCCTTCCTGCTAGTGGAGCGTTAAGAGTGCTTTAATTATTTGAGAAAATTTTGTTTTGTTGCAGGACGGCCGAAGTGCTTCACAAATACTTGGCGAGCAACCAGGTAAATGGATATCGGTCTAGGAAGTTTTTAACTCTGAAATATGGAGGGTTCAAATTCAAGAACTCTAAAAAAGTGTCTAAGTGTGTGATTTTCAGTTCAGTGAAAATTTCAGTTCTCTATCTGCTCTCGCTCTCTCAGGGCTTATTTTTCAAATAGGGCTTGCACTGTTTCAAACACCTCTAGGAGACACACATGTTTAAAAATTTTGCAAAATTACTCCTGAGCCTGATGAATATGTCAACTTTGCCTGTTTAATAGAGCCGTGTTTGCTGTGTATACAGTAAAAATTTCAATTCTGTATGTGATTGGTGCTTCTCAGGGCGAATTTTTCAAGTACAGGCTGCACTGTTTCAATCGCTGCTTTCAGACGCATATACTCAAAAGTTTTCCGATGCCACTCTTGATCCTGATGAACATCCCAATTTTTCCTGTTCAACAGAGCCATGTTTCCTTTATTTTTGGTAAAAATTGCAGCTCTAACGAGTTAGAGCTTCAAACAGCGATTTTTTCAAATAGATTCCGATGTTTCAAATGCCGCTAGAAGTCACACATGTTCAAAAATTTTGCAAAATTACTCCCGAGCCTGATGAATATCTCAATTGTGCCTGTTTAATAGAGCCATGTTTGACCATGCGGCGTGGAGACACAGATGTTCCAACATTTTGCAAAATCACCTTTGAGCCTGATGGAATCTTAACTTTGTGTATTCAATAGAGCCATGATTGATCTATATTTAGAGATAATTTCAATTCTATATCGGCTCTCGTCTTCGCAGGGTTTATTTTTGAAATAGAGCTTGCACTGTTTTAAACACGACTAGGAGACACACATGATCAAAATATTTCTAAAATATCTCCAGAACTTGACGGAAATTTCACTTTGCGCGTCCAACAGAGCCATGATTGCTCGATATTCAGTAAGAATTTCAATTGTGTATGTATTTGGTGCTTCTCAGGGCGAATTTTTCAAGTACAGGCGCATATATTCAAAAATTTCCCGATGCCACTCTTGAGCCTAATGAACATCCCAATTTTTCCTGTTCAATGGAGCCATGCGTCCTTTATTTTTGGCAAAAATTGCAACTCTAACGGGTTAGAGCTTCAAACAGCGATTTTTTCAAATAGAGTGCGATGTTTCAAACGTGGCTCGGAGTCACACATGTTCAAAAATTTTGCAAAATTACTCCCGATTCTGATGAATATCTCAACTGTGCCTGTTTAATAGAGCCATGTTTGCTGTATATACAGTAAAAATTTTATTTCTGTATCTCCTCTGGTTTTCTCAGGGCGCATTTTTCAAACAGAACATCTCGTAAAAAACTTAGCTCTAACTGGTTGGAGCTTCAATGATAGAATTTTTGAAATAGAGCCTGCACCAATTTAATCGCCACAAAATCTCCAAAAAAGTCTCAGACGGCTTTGGGTGAAAACCACACTAAAAAAATATAAAAAAATCCTTGAACCAAGCGGCGACATTCGTTCCACTGACCGATAGTTATTTTCCATAGAAACCCGTATGTCGCAGCTCGCCTCATCTTATCATAGTCAGTCACTTGAATCAGTGGCGCACATTTGCAAAGTTATGCTGTCACCTCTGATCAGCAATCGCAAATTTTCCGGTTTTTTTTCATTTTTCTGCTGGAAAGTGTAGTGTTTCCGGTATATAAACCCCCCTGCTTTCACTTGAGCGAGTTTTCTCCACCAGATTGTGGATATTTCGGAAAAAATCGCAGATTTTCTATTGTGACGTTTAGTGTAAATGCTCGTTGTGAAGGGCAGGGCTAGTTTGGAGGTTTAAGGGGACGCTTCTGAGGGGACGTCGTCTCAGACAATTTAAGTGTTTTCCGCATGAATTTTTGCCATAAAAATCGTGTTAGTTAGTGTAACACAAGAATATTTCGTCGTTTTTCAACCAAAGCTGTCACTTTGACTGTCAACTTTGAGACAGACAGTGTGGATGTCAGGATGCCTTTGTTGTCTTATGGAAAAACAGTCAAAAATCAGGATTCCTCGGAAAACACCATGAGCAAAGTAACTAATATAAAAGATAAAAAAAAAATTTTACTTGGAACGCCGGAGGGATGGAAACCAGAAAATTACCAAAATATATATATATGACCTAAAATTCGTCTAAGTTTGTACAAATAAGGCACCAATGCGTTCGGTAGTGTTCAAAAATGTACAAATTTCCCGTAAATCTACACCTATACCTATGACTGTACAAAAATATGGCACATCAATTCAGTGGCACATTCTCTTGAAAAAATTATTATACACCATACAAAGTACCTAATTTTGATATTTATAATGCCCGGCCTAGCACAAGTAAATGTACAAAACTTAAGTGTTTAGATGCGTAAACGCCTACAAATAAAACCTATTCACTAGTGTGGCTAGTTGAGAAAAGGGGGCAATGTGACGTAGGTTTGGTTCCCATTGCCATCCGACTTAAGTTCCTTTAATCGACCATCCTCATAAGTCTGGTCGTACTTCGGAGATCCATTGGCGTATCGTTCGGGCGACTGGCTCAAGTTCGGGTCCACGTACTCGATTTTCACCCCTATCGAGCTCTCGTCGGTCGCGGGCGAATGGGATTGCAGCATCGAGTACTCCCGACCAAGCGGAGGGCTCTGATTGGTCGGCGGCGTAGAGTACTCGTGGGCGCGCATCGGCGCACTGAACAGCTGAGTATCATGCGAGTTCAACATGTACGAGTAGGAGTTCTGGCTGGTACCAAACGTCGTGTAACCTGAGGTGGGCGATCCGAAACCCGAGTAGGATCCAGCGGCGGAGTTTAGGAGGTTCAAGTGCCCACCCAGCTCGTAGGTGGACTGTCCATAAGTCCACGAATCTACCGGCGCCGTCGGCTGCGCCTGAGTGAATGGAATCGTCTGGTTGAAGTTGTTGTTGAGGGAGGCGTTCGGAGTGGTTGAACTGATGTAGCCGGTTTTCCTGGGAGGCTCGCGCTTTCGCCATTTGGCTCTGCGGTTCTGGAACCACACCTGCACTCTGGATTCGCTCAGATTGAGCTTCAAGGCCAACTCCTCACGTGCAAACACGTCCGGGTAGGGGGCTCTTTCAAAAGCCCGCTCCAGTTCCTCCAGCTGGAATGCTGTGAACGTCGTTCTGAAAAATTAATATTCTCTTTTAGTTTTCGCGAGTCCAAAAGTCTAGACTCCCCCCGGTGGCTAAGATTATAACTACAAGTTAAGTAGTACTTTTTTGTTGACATTGGTGTTTACTCTGATTGATTTATTTTCCTGACTGCGTGTACACCAAATGTTGCATAATTTTGATTTTGACAAAGCAGATATATTAATTAAGGAAACAAATGATCGTAAAAGAAGAATGCAAGAAATGATACAAATAAAAAAACATGCAAAAGCAATAAAATTCAGATCAGATACAACCTTAGCAACATTTACCAAACCCTAATAAAGCCATAAGTATGGAACACCCGGTACTACGGTAATTTTAAATCTGATGATGGCGCTGTTGTCTCGCCGAAACGTAATGAATGATAAACGATGTTTCAAAATTTTTACTTCATACTTTGACTGAAACCCAGGAAAGATAAGAATATCATAATTGGTCTTTACATCTGATTGAGATTTGTTTTGTTCTAATCAACTTTGCAAGCTTTTAAATAAATAGAAAAAGATCGTGACGTACATGACGTACGACAGACAGTGTGCAAGATTGTTTTATGTCATAAATGTCATCAACTCCAATAAATAAACAAGTCTGACAAATATCAACTGTCACTCGACAACGAGTCATATGACGTTTCGCAGCGCCACCACTCGCGAATACTGGCGGCTAAACGTAGGAATATGATCCGATTAATGCGCATGCGTTAACTGCAGATTTTAGCTGCTGATCAGCTGCGTGATTAACAGTGGAGTGGGCTCTATCTATCTCACTCTTAATCTATGCTGTTGATGTTCATTTTTCGTATTTAAAATTCTTGGTATTTGAAATTTACATTAGGCATTAGGCATTAGGCATATCGACCTTCCAAAATTGGTTCCTTTTTCTTCTGTAATTCGGCCTTCCCAGCATATGGCGTGCAAAGGCAACATCAAATCCCAAAGTTCCAGTTAAACATGCGAGTTCCTAGTACTTTCATATTATTGATAAATTTTATTATACTGATGGCTTGTGCCTGGATTTTGTTTGATCAAAAATAGTAGACTTCATAGGATCTTTAGTACAACCATTGACTGTAGTACACGTTTCTGTGTTTTTTGAAGTGCATTTAAACAATCATAGGTATATTATATGCATATTCAATAACCACTTTATCGTCCAAGCTGTGAGCCTGAAGGCGATTGCGGATATGATGTGTAAAAACTTAATTGCGGCATAAACAACCCATATTTATTTTTCTGAAGTAACGTAGAAAAGAATTTCGAACACGCTTGTAGTCTTTACTCACGAATTAACGAAAATCGTAACCTCAATCAACAACTCACGAAAAGTGAAAATAAACAGCTGATAGCTTAGAGTCCGCGCATGCCCATTAAAGGAATCGTATTCCTACGTTTAGCCGCCAGTCTCGCGAATAGCCTGGTGTCATTATTTGAATGTCAGTTTGACATTCATCAACGTTTGAATTGCCTCAATTTTGTCGCCATGGATACTAGTTGTCATTGGCACAAAGTAGCTCGATATAATGGTCTCCAGCGGACAAAAAAAAATTTTGAAATTATTCTGCTAAAAAGTTTTTTTTCCATTGTCCTCATTTGACATGTTCGAGTTTCGTAAATCGAATTGATGCGATTTTGATCTTCGGAGTTACTTAATTCGGCTTTTTCCATCCCCTTTGAATTAGTTCCAGTAAATTGAGTTTATGGGCAAAAAATGCCAGCACGTGCGGTTGGACTGGCGGAATTTGGCGCATCTGTCCGGCTTTAAGCCCCCATTTGCGTCCCTTCGAGTGGACAACTGACGCCCGTTTTGTTTCAAGTGGCTTTAAATAGGTCGGTGATTTTCGGCTTTTTCACCCAAAATTCCACTGCTGTTTGGATGCGGGCACTTTTGTGTTGAACAGCGGCTTTTTTGATCATTTAGTTACTCATCAGTGGGTTTATTATTTGGTAAAGTCGATAGGTATCGGTTAGGTACTTGGTTCAACCACTCTGCGGCATAAAAAATAGAATTTGAAATTTAAATGAAAATTTGGCGTTGCCCATATTGGTTCTGTCCTTTGCTCGCTCATTAAAAACACTTATTTGGCTGGAATTGGCATGGAAAAAGTGGCAACTTTTCCCACTCGAATCTGCTTTATCGATCAAAAAATTGCTACTTAAGGGCAATTGTTCATTAAACTGAAAGTTCAGACAAACTTGGAATAAAATTGACGAAAAATAACGGCAATTAAATGCATGAAGAAAGCCGAAAAGAAATTCCTGGTGAGCAAAAGCCATTTGTGTCGTTTGGGTTTTAAAGCAGAAGACATTTTCTGCGGTTCCCAGTTTTAGGGCCAATTTCGCTAATAAGCGTCTGGAAGGCGCAAGTTAAGCTCGCGTTTCTTTTGATCGTCACCCATAAATGTTCACATCTGTACGACAATAACGCAACTAGTGAGATTTTCCGGCTTTTTAACTATTTAAAGGATGCAATTGTTTTCCACTTTGGCATAAAATGCCGAAAAACTCATTAGTTTCAAGCAATGGCCACGTAAACCCGTATTTTTTCGTGTCTATTCTCTCGATATATTTTTTTGGTAGGAATACAAACATTTGTGGCAGTCTAGAGCTCGTGTGGCGTTAGAATTGAGTGGAAAAACTTGCAACAAAGCACACTATTTGGATTTTTTGGCTACAAAAGTGGCAATTAATGGGGATTAAACCCAAAATTTTTTCGCGCCTGCACTGAAAGCCACTTAAGCGCATGCTAAAATCACAACAGCAATAAAAGTCTCTGAAAATGTTCCTTTTCCTGGGACAATTTGTAAAAGAAATCCCATTTGCCTGATTTTTTGCACAACATACCCACTCTTGTTGGTTTTTTAATCAATGAATTGGGGTTTTTCCAATAAAATCCGTTTTGTTTCGCATTATGATTTTTCGGACTTTTTGCATTCAAAACAAGAAGTGAATGAGCAAATCGATCTGTTGTTATTGGTAGGTTTTCCAGTCAACTAAATCAATTTTTCAATTACGAAATTCCGATTTCCCATCAAAACTATCAATATGCGTCAACCCACTTTTGAACCGCCAGCTTCAATCACTTATTTCCAGCTCAATTCAAACGCGCTGAGGAAACCACCTCTGAAGATGCAAGCCGCTAGTGCGTGCGAAACGTTAGGAGTAATTTTTTCTTGGAAAACGCCCGAAAAATTCACCGCTTTCCAGCAACGACCGCCAAAGTAAAAGCAAATAGTTTACAGAGTAAGATAAAGGAAAATTAGCCGTTGCCCACATTAGCGCTGTCTTTCTCTAGTCATGTGAAACACCTAATATCGACCAATAGTCATTGATGGTTGTTTGTTAACACCTTTAAGACGCTAAGGGGGAAACAATAAAAATGGTAATTTCTTTCTAAAAAGGCTGTGGGTCAGTCCAAATGGGCCTTTCTGCCCAAAGTGGGAAATATTATTTAAAACCCTTTGAATGGTAATTTTTAAGTGTGAAAACTATGCGCCTTTGGACATCGTAAACATCACTAGGAAACCGCTTAAACTAGTAGCAAATTGCAAAAAAAACCTTGTTTTCTTCTTCTTGACCCCATTGTTTTCGCCCTTTTTCTTCTCGTTCTTCTTGCTGGTGGTCGAAGAAGCATTGCCGATTTCCGTCGAATTCAAGTTCTGCGACTGCAGCAGCACCACGTCCTCCTTTTTGCGCTGTTGAGGCACGCCATTGGTGCTGCCAATCGGCTCCATGTTGGCCTGATAGGCAATGGAGAGATCCTGATGGTTCATTGGAGAACCGTCCATTTTCTGAGGCGGCGCTTTGTCGTACTCTAATGGACTGCCCATGTTACCGAACATCTCATGCTGTTGCTGAAGGCCGAGCATCACCTGCAAGAAGTTTTCCATCTAAAATATTTCCACTTTTGGAGGCACTGTTCCATTGATGGAAGCTGGAAGCACTCGGCACGAATCACCGAAATTTACCTGGATCGAATGCACGTCGGTGTTTTTGCTCAACAGCGTCGAACTCAAGCTGGGCAACGGTTGATTGTTGTAATCGTTAAAGTTCTGATCGTCGAACGGGCCACCTTCCATTATCAATTAACACAATCAAAACAATTTTTTTTAATCAGACAATTTAGCCGAGCTGTTACTCTTACACTGACTTCTGACATTATCATTTTAGTCAATTTATATTTAACGAGCTCAATTGGGAAACGTACACCCATGCTGTGCCGAGAGCGTCCCATTGGGACGCTGCGAAGCAGCTCGTGCTCTGATTGGTCGCGATCGGCAAAATCGCAGCGCCTCGACCAATGGGGGCGCCGATTTCGTGTGAGGGGACGCTGAATGAATGGGAAATGAGGGCTCCGACTGGCGCTCTATCGGCTCTAGCAGTTTTACTCAACTAGTCGCTAAGGCAGGAGCGCGTTTGATTCGCTTTTTATGCAACTTGGAATAAGTGCCTGAAACTGGCGGCTCTTTTTGTTAAAAACTAACATCTGGATGAACTTGTAAAGCTTTCAATTGTAAGCCAAACATGTGCAACAATGTTTAATTTTTGCGACTAGAAAACTTATAAACCACACTAGATAGAGTGGTGTTTTTTGCCCGTCCCGTGTTTCTAATTAAAAACTTTCACAAATCAGCAGCGGAACAAAGATGTTTTTTAAACCCCGCATTTGTTGATGCAAAACGCAACAAAAGTAGCAAAATTTAAAGAAGACCGCCTAGCGACGAACACCAAGTATTGAGCAAAAAATTGAGCTAATCTTATGGTTTTAGGATGTTCTTAAGTGACTTTCAGTGCGGGCCTGAAGCAATTTTGTATTTAAATTCTGTTAATTTCCACTTTGGTAGCTACAAATGCATCATATTACATGTTAGTAGGAATATTTGCCGACGCCGCTAACCAAATAGCAAGCTTTTCAATAATTATTGGAAATGTGCCGTTGCCCACATCAGCTCCATCCTTTTCTAGCTCAGTAAAAACGCGTATTTGTCCGAATATGTCTAATGAAAGCTTTTAGCAGTTAAAGCAAAAATTATTCCCACTACAGTTTTGGGAGCGGGATTAGACGAAAAACTCTTGGCCGGTAGTTGAAAGGAAAAACCGCAAAAGCAAAAGCCAAAGCCAGAAAGTTTTCTCTGAAAAAATTTTAAACTGATACTCGCCCACAGTAGCTCTGTCTTTTTCTAGCCCATTGAAAACAATAGAAGTCCAAAAAGTGTTAGGCAATTGCTCCCACTAAAGATATTACGTAGATCCGATTAGGTGCAGGTTTAATCGAAAAGTAGTAAATATTTGTTTCAAATCACCAGAATGTGTACTTTTTGCCCCAAAAGTTGCACTGATTCCAGTTCAGTAAACTTCTTCAGATTTGTTTTGGTCAAAAATAATATTTTGTAAAATTTCCGCTTGCTTTTGTCTTCTTCCAACTAGTAAAGTGCTGTAAAAGTTGCGGCTTTTTCCATTCAAATTGCGATTTTTTTCTTCAGGTTTTGTGCTTAAAAGTGTCTACTTATATGCTTTACTCTATATTCTAGCAAATGTTTCAAATCGGCTGGGAGAGACAGCGCTAATCTGGGCCACGGCTCATTCTTTTTAGTTTTAAAAAAAATTAAAGAGAAACAGAGAAAAATATAACAAATTGAGGATTGCAGTTGCAGACAGCAACTCAGAGGCGTTTTGCTTGAAACAACTTTTGTTTTAAAAAAAAAATTTATGAAATTGCCGACGTTTTGTCAGATTTATTTTCGCATCTTCAGGACTCGAACGTGAACTTGCCCTGAAAATGCTAAAATGTACAAGGCAATTTTTGAAAATATTTTTTTTTCCGGAAAAAGCTTGAACAATTCACGAGTTCCAAGCCATTGTGGCTAAAGTATAACTTTTTCATGAAACTTTGAAGATTTTTCATAGCGAAAGGATTTTTGACAGTGATTTTTGCAAGTTAAAAACATAGAAAAGGTACAATAACCGAAATGAAGGACGTTCTTGACAAAGCTATAATTGTTTCAATTAAAGAAAGTTAGCCTCTGTAGGCACGTTTAGGCGCAAAACTTGAAAAGCAACTCGTTTTCCTTCAGTTTTCAGGAAAAAAGTAGCAAATATTTAGTTTCAGTCGCGAGAATTTGCAATTTTTACGCCAAAAATGGTAAAATTGTGGTTTGCATCCTCAGAGTTGTTTTTCTCGAAATATGTATTTTGAAAAATTGCCAACGTTTTGCCATTTTTGATTTGGCGGCCTCCGGACCAGTTCACGATGGGTCCTGAGGATGCCAAAATAAATATGGCAAAACGTCGGCAAATTTATAAAATCGAGCAAAATACCTTTGAAGATACACGCGACTCGAGCCTGCGAAACTTTAGAATGTAAATATTTTCCGCAACAACCTACAATCCCGAAAATTTTAAAATAATAGCCATGAAAGTATTTTTATTATATTTTTCTTCAATTTTTATTAGCAGAAATACAATTAATTTCGCCAGTTTAGTTCTTGTGTGGCACTACGAAGATCTGAATAAAACTTAAAGTAAAATGAGCCGTTGCCCACATTAGCACTGTCTCACTTTCAAATAAAAATGCTTTAGCTTTGAAAAAGTCCAAAGTTGGAACTAGATAATTTTTCAAGCTTTTTTCGAAAATTATGCCTGGCAAACGTTTCGCCATCATGAATGGCTTGCAGCCTCACAGATGTTTTGCTCAAAACGTATATTTTCCAACTTCACGTTGGGCTCCTGAGGATGCCAAAATAAATCTGACGAAACGTCGGAAATTGTATAAAATATGCTTTTCCAGAAAAACATCTCTGAGTTGGTGTCTGCAACTGCAAAACGGTAAAATGTAATTTAAAAAAAAACGTTAAATTGTAGCCACGAAGTTTTCAATTATTAAAATTTTCTGTTCCTCTTTCATTTCTGTTAAACCAAGAAAAATCAGCTTTTGCCCACATTAGCACGGTCTCACTCCGGCGCATTTGCTAGGCTATTAAAGCACCAATTGTTCCCACCAAACTTTTGTCACTTTTCAGCAGGAACTCTGACGAAAACCTCGCAAATTTTAAGGCAAAAGTGGCCACTTTTACAGTAAATGAGTTGTTTAAAAAGAACTAGGAAACATTTGCTTTAAACTTTTTTTGCTGCAAAAGTGGCAACTTTCGGAATTGATTTTATCAATCAAAATATTGTGATTTTGCACTTTCAGAAGCGTTTTGTTCGACAAGCATTCTTTGTAAAATTGCCGAAAAAGAAACACCTCTGACGCTTCAAGCCATTCCAGCTGGCTAAACGTTTGTACTACATTCTTCTCGATAAAAGCTTGACAAACTGGACGAACTCACGATCTTCAAGGCATAGCAGCTAAAGTCTGACCGTTTTTGTGAAGTGACTTTGAGGATGCCAAAATAAATACTGCGAAGCGACAGCATGTTTTCAAAATATACATTTCGAGCAAAACACCGCTGAGGATGCAAACCACTCGAGCTGACAAAACGTCAGAAAATGGAAAGAATTTACAAGTTTCAAACAATAGCAACGAACGTCTAACTCATTTTTATTTGTTCTTCGCTCTTTCTCTTTATTTTTTTTTGATATAAACTCAATAATTTTCACCAGCGCAGTGCAAAAAAATTAAATAAAATTAAATTTGTTCATTAGCGCTGTCTCGCTCCAGCATTTTAAAACTGCATGCTTGAAGGACGTTTTACGATTAAAGCGACAATTGTTCCCACCAAATTAGTAGCTTTAGATAAGTAGCCAACTGAAAACCAAGGCCAACCTGAAGGAAACCTGAAGATTTTAAAGGAAAAAGTGGGAAATTTTGAAGCGTCTCAACGTGAGTGAATGCAAAGTCCTAAAGATGCCAAAACAAAAGTGGCAAAACGTTGGCAATTTTGCAGAGCAAAAGTCAAGAAGATTTCTTTCATTACCGTCTTCAAGATTGAGAGCTTTCACCGATTCTTTTCCCTTTAAATTGTGGTTTCAGAGCTGTTTTGCTCGAAAGATATGGAAAATTTCCGACGTTTTGCCAGAGTTGATTTGGCATCTTCAGGGGCACAACATGAAGTTGCCGTAGGATGCCAAAATAAATATTTCGAAACATCGGCAATTTTATAAAATCTAACAAAACACCTCTGAGGATACAAGCCACTCGAGCCCGCGAAACGTTGCAATGCAAATGTTTTACGCGAAACTTTTAAGTTAATGGCCACGAAAGTATTTTTATTTTAATTTCAGTTGGTAGAAATACCGTTATATGTTTGCCAGGTTAGTCCTTGTGTGGCACTACGAAGATCTAAATAATAGTTAAAGTAAAATGAGCAGTTGCCCACTTTAGTGGTGTCTCACTTCAGCGCATTTACTAGCTAGAAGGACGGTTGGAGATGAAAGCGCCAATTGTTCCCACCAAACTTGTAACTTTTGGCACGAAGCTTGAAAGAAAACCTGCGCCTAAAGTGGCCACTTTGATGGGAACAATTGTAAATTTTGCTGCCAAACGTCCTTATTGTCCGTTATTGTTGTTTTTACTGCCGAATAATGGTTTTTAATGAATTGAAGGACAGACCTAACGTGGACAATCAGCAATTTATCATTTAATTTCAATTTTGAATTTAGCCGCTATGGCTGGACACTCGGGTATTAGTGGAAAAAACCTTTTGCTAGAATTTAGTGCAAACGTTTCGCCAGCTCGAATGGCGCGGAGCATCAGAGGGGTTTTGCGCGAGAGGTAAGCAAGGATGGAAGACTGTCTTCCATCCCTGCCAGTGCTTAGAAAACGTCAGGAAGAAATTATTTTCTGAAAATAAATGACTGGTTTTAAGCAATAGCTACAAAACACAAGTTTTTTTAAATTTGTTTTATCAATTTTTGTCAGTCGAGTGCCAAAAATTTCAATAAAAATCAAGTTCTGTCCCTCTTCAGCGCATTAAAACCACTTGCTAGTAGGAAGTTTGGCGATTAAGGCCACAACTGTTCCGACCATTCGTGCAACTTTATACAGGGTTATTCACCCTATACGGCCCAGACGTTTGCGGCTGGCCCGTTTTTTGCAAAGTATTATTTGATGAATTCACAGACGCCTATCGGCAGCACATTTTAAAAATATTTTTGTAATGTACGGAGTGTCCCAAAAGCCCTAAAAGTATCAAAGTTGTGTTTTTCTAAATGAAATACCCTATATATTATTGCATTTTTGGATTCTCTGAGCAAAATAAGTGATTGTTTTAATAAGATTTATAATGTCTAAATCTAAAGGTTTTTTAAATAATTCGAATTTTATCAAAATCTAATATTATTTTCATGTGTCAAATACTTCGTAGTGTAGTGTAACAAGAAATCATATTTTATATCCCAATGATAATAAACTTACCATTTTATACAGGGTGTCCACAAATTTTAACTATTCAAATAAGAACTTTAAGTGGCTATAACTTGATTAATTTAAATACAACCCCATATTTTTAGCTTACCAGGAAATGCAATTTTTAATTACCTATCGAATGGTACTAGGATGTTTATAACTAAGTTTTTGCCTTTTTACAAAATATACCAAATAATGGTT